TGAGTTGAACAGGAAGCCACAGATTTTATCGGATTCACATGCTGGGGGAGACATCAGGGTATGTGATGTAGCAAATCATATTTCCAAAAAGGACCAGGTAAATATTTTGAATCCCACATAATTTTTTCACTTTTACACCCTCTTGATGGGGGAGAAACTTGCCTTTGCTCCATTAAAAGTGGACTCTATTTCTTCTCCCCTTGTATCTAGATAAGACATTGTTGCTCAATGATTTTAATGTTGTCAAAGTTAATGTGTGAGGCATCCAAGTCTAAATCAGAAAAGCTGAAAAGTTTTTTATTGATGTCTTGCCGCTTATTCTTTGTCTCTCCCTCCCTTCTATCTCTATCTCTATATCCATCTATGCCACAATCCAGTCCACTCAATGCATAGTCTTTCAACCCAGCCAACATGCTGAGAGGAAACCAGACCATATGGAGAGACTGCATGCAGATGCCCCAGCCAGTGGGTCCAGCAAAAGTCTTAACCTTAACTAGAATAGTAGGAAATGAGTGAACAAGCCTTTGAATTATTACAGCCCTCTCCCTTCAGCTCTCTCCCACTGCTTTCCAGTGAAATAAATCTACCCTGAAGGGGATCTGAATGGTAGATTTGTAAGCAAAATCAATATTTTTAAGACACTGAACTTTGGTACCGTTTATTACACAGTCACATGTTAACTGCAATGCTCCAAGAAAACAAATGTTGATGGAGGAGCCAAAAAGAGGTATCTTCCTTCAGGTGGGGAAATGAGTCTCAAGATAGGTGTCCCTGAGTTGACACAATAGTCAGCTTTGAGGGACATACAGGAATTATGCAGTCAAAGATGATAGTAGTCTGGACGAACAGCATGTGCAAAGCTGAGGCAGAGGTGAGAGAGGGAAGCCTCTTGAGGAAACTATTTGAAGGATTGTTTTGTTGCTGTTGCTCTCTAGCTTGTGAAGGCAGGGTAGAGAACATAACAAGGGCAGGGCAAAATTCTGAATAGTGTGGAGTGGGATATTAAAAGTCTTAAAAGAAGGGCGTTCCAATAGATCTATAAAATAAGGAACAGTGGTACAAAAGTGGGTGAAAATGGGAAGAAGTACTAGGAAAGGTAATTTCCCTGTCCTTTATCAAAGCAGACAGTGAAGTTCTTGCAGACACTGCAGCTTGTCCTTGGGCCTGGCATGATGGTGGCAGTAGGAAAATAGATGACTCAGAGAGTGAGAGTGTGCTCTGACATGAGGTGGTCAACACAACATAATTCCAGACCTGTGAGAGGAGATTTTCAAGATTTAGAGCTAAGGAAAGTATTTTTGTCTCATGATGGTCACTCCTGAATTCACAAACTGACCTACAAATATGTACTGAGTACTTCTTTTTCCACATAAGTGTTTCGGCGCAAGAGATACAAAAACAAGACGTTTAGCTATCTGTATCTCTGAGATTGACAATTTGGAACAGTCAAACAACATTTTAAATAATCAAAGACTAGTGATTGTTGGAATTATGTGATAGAAGTCAGTACTTGGACTGCATCTACAATTAGGTTTTCCCTGTAAATTAGTAGTCACAAGCTTGTAGGATTAGGATGGTGAAATATTGGTGGAGGAGGGGAAGCATTATTTTGTCCAAAATAAATGCATTTCCTATGAAAGGTAACACAATTCTGATATAAATATTTTCTACTATGAGCAGGACAGTGTTAGCAAAGTATTAATAGAAGAACTATATGTGAACTAGATTCTGCTAAAGAGTTAACTGGGAGAAAGAGGAGTTAAGGAAAAGCATTTGTTTTGAAATTAACACTTCCCCACCACCAAATGATTTTGATGTTCTAGTCCTATAATTTCCCTTATAGATTTTGCCCCTAAGGATGTATGCAAGCATTTTTTCTGTGTACTATAGTACTTCTTTGTTTCCCAGCAATATAAAATGCCCACAGGAGTGGTACAGCTGCTAACTTAGTCAACTTATTTCCTGAATATTCCTTTATATTGCCCTTGAGGCTGGCAATAACATAAAGGATTAATGTTGCTGAAGGGAATTCAGGAAAACTCACATAAATATCTAAGATGAGGTTTATGCATCTTGGTGGCATAATACCATAACTAGAGGCTTCCTCAAAAAGGCAGGAAATTCCTATCATTGACAGCCAGCTACCTTCAATTACTAAAAAATGGTTTCTACAGTTTTTTAATTTTATCATCAGGCTGTTGGAATAAAGTTTAGATGTAATAAGATATTTAATGAAGTAATAAAGTTAAAATTAAAAGATAATTATAGATACCAGATACCAGTTCTTGGGCAATACATTTACCTATAGTAGCAGCATTAAATTTTGTTTGGTTTTTCTCTATTCCTCATATAAGTGAAAAGAATGTATTTGAAGTTTACTTTCTATGATAAAAAACATTGTAAACAACTGAAGTTAAATAGAAAGTGGTAGCATCAACAATATACAAATAACATTAAATGTTATCCACCTCTCCAACACACTGAGTTAGATGATAAGGATTTGTAAGCACTGAATTAGATGTTAAGGGCCAACTGTCTAGGAACTTACGCTTTGGTGATGGAGAGAACAAATCAATTAACTAATTGGATAAAGCATGATAAGCTGAAGTGCACATATAACAAAGTACAGATACAAGTCTGCCAATTTTAAAAGACAATCAAAGGAAATCTAGAAGAAGTAAAATTGAACATAATCCTTGATTTAGCATAGAATAATCAAGAATATAAACAAATAATTAAAATATACATTCAAAAATACAACACCATCCTAGTTAATAAATATACACTGGCTCATTTTTGTTCTAGAAAAAGATCTCTAGAAACTAGATATGTCTTATGACTCCTGGACTTCTGCATCATATTGGTATTTTATCCTGTTGAAAGTGGTAGAACCAAGAGATACTTATTTAGCAGCAATAAACTTAGAAATGGAAAATTAAAATTAACAACACTGAGATATGGTATAATGGAACACAAGAATGCCACAAATACAGAAGCTAGGAGAGGTTCTGACTGCAATGCTGGCCTTGGAATCTGAAAAAAAAAACAAAACTTTTTTCCAACTGGATGGTCAGACTATGTTTTGTTGCTTTTATTTACATGGGGGCCACACACTCTATGTCTTATGCTTAAGCAATACTGGGCAAAAAATAAATAAATAAAATTAAGGTCCCTCCCTGGTGGTGCAGCGGGTTAAAGCACAGCACTAAGAAGCTAAGGCCATTTCAGCATGAGTTCAATCCCTACCCTGGAGCTGATCCACATGGCACCGCAGACCTCTACTGATCCACCCACTTCTCCCCTCAGCGTGTACTTCGTCAGTCAGCCTGTTCTGATCCCCACTCTGTCTCTGGTGAATCCTCTCACTGCCCTTGCACCTCTGGCCTATACCCCAGTTCTGTATGCATGAATAAATAAATCTTAAAAAAGAAAAAATTGAATGTGCTGTGTAAGAAAATCAAATAACTAATTTTAACTACATAAGGCAGTTTGAGCAAAGCAGAATCATGAAGTAATCTGTGCATGAGCGCAATTCAGGAAGTGGTGCACATTCTCTCTCTCCCTGCCAGGAGTAGAATTAGACATGGGGGGCAGGAAGCTGGTGGCTCAGATCAAAATACTTGCTTGGTCCACTATGCTTGGTCATGAGTGACCCTGAGTAGAAGTGAATTTTCATAAATCTATGTGTAAAAGAAAAACGAAGACAGCTTCCCCACTGTCCTATCAGCCCTATCCTGATGCGGCTTCTTCACTGAACATATATTATTCATGTTCATAAAGGGGATTCCAATATTTCCTATAAAAATGCATGAAAGTCATAATAAATTTTTACATTGACCACTGCATCAAATGGCCAAGGGAGCTAAAAGTCAAGCAGAAAACCCAACACACACAGGCAAATGGGGAAAAAGGGCAGTCTTAGAGTAGACACCCAGAACAGCTTTGAAATCAGAACATCTAAAATACCTAGGAAATGGATAAAATAAAATTCAATGGGTAATTTTATATTGGACCTATTGGTAATATAACAAATAGTAACAATAAATATGAAAGTTTCATTTTTGCTAAGGAGAAAAGTGATTGAAAGAGAAAAGGTGAGAAAAGTGATTAAAAGAGAGGTATACGAAGTGCATCTGCAAGGAAATGGGGCCCTCTAGAGGCCACTTTAGGAACTGAAACCTATATGCAAAATGTCTTGGAGTTGTTTTGTTTGTTTGTTTGTTTTTTAAGATTTATTTATTTATGATACAAGAACTGGCCAGAGGGGTGTGTGTGTGTGGGTATGGGAGTGGTGAGAGGGTTCACCAGAGACAGAGTGAGGAGTAGAACAGGCAGATCTACTGAAATACACTGCTGAGGGGAGTAGCAGGTGGGCCGGGAGAGGTCTGCTGTGCCATGTGGGTCACTTCCCTGGACAAGGAGTGTCCACGGACACTGCAGTGGTTGGGGAACTCTTCATAGTGTTGTGCTTTAACCCACTGTGCCACCAGGAAGGGCATTTCTGGGGTTTTAAATTAGAAAATTTTTGTGAATTCCTTTGTATACACGTACAACTTCTATTTACTATCTCAAGGAAATCTCCTCTGTTCCTGGGAAATTTGGCCACAGAAACAAATTAGTTGTTCAGCTTAATGCAAAAAAAAAATTGTCATATATTTGTGATCCAAAAATTACCATTTTAAGCATATAATCAAATTATTCAACTGGAATAAAATCTCACTTTCATTATGCATAGGGGCTCATATTATTGTTTGAAATGTTTCAGGGCCATATTCACAATTAACTTGGTTCTAACTGTAGAATTTATATATTTTTTAAAAAGCTCTTTGATAGGCTTAGGGGGAAATTAACTCACTTCTCTCTGTGCCTATAATTTAACTGAAACTCCCTTAGTCACCAATATACCTGACGATCACATTGACCCAAGAATGCTTCCTATTTAAAAGTAATTTTATGCATTGGCAATTTTCCCCCTTCAAAGAATCCTCCTCTACAGCCCCTCATATCGGGGCTCCCTGAACTCTCTTAGATCGAAGCAACTGGAACATAGCCTGGCGAATCGTCCTGGTCTTCCAACTGTAAATGATGGGGTTCAGGACAGGTGGTAAGAGCAAATAGATGTTGGCCAAAGTGCTGCAGACCACCCTTGGGGTGGTGCTGAGAAGGTGGTGTGTCAAAGACAGGCTGATCATCGGCACATAGAAAACAGTGACAGCACAGATGTGACAGACACACGTGCTGAGAGCTTTTTGTTGCTTTTTGGGGGCCACAGTGCTCAGGACAGTCCGGAGAATCAAGACATAAGAGAAAAGAATAAACAGTAAGTCAGTGCCAGTAATATAAAGCTGAAAAAACATGCCTAAAAAACTGCTGATCCAGGGATTGGCATGTGTGTACTTGATCATATCTGGGTGGTAGCAAAATGGATGGGAAAGTTCCTGGCCCCCGTGGAAAGAAACATTCTTCAAAGCCAGGAACATGAGAAATATAAAAGCCGCATGTCGTGTGCAGATGACCAGGCCAATGACCATGATTATCATGCCTGTAAGGACGGTGGCATAGCTCAGTGGATTACAGATGGCCATGAAGCGGTCAAAGGCCATGGCCGCCAGAACCGAGGACTCCAGGAAAGAGAAAGTATGGACCAAGGACATCTGGATGAAGCAAGCTTTAAAGCTGATCTCCCGGGCATGAAACCAAAGGACCCCAAGTACGGTGGGGAGAGTTGAGCCAGTTAGACATAGATCGACGGCTGACAGCATAGAGAGGAAGTAGTACATGGGCTTGTGGAGACCCTTCTCCACGCTGATGACAAGCAAGATCGCGCTGTTGCCCAGGAGGGCGATGGTGTAGAGACAGCAGACCGGAATGGAGATCCAGGCATGAGCAAGTTCCAGCCCAGGAAATGCAGTGAGGAGGAAGTTTGTGGAGGAAGATGTGGTGTTGTTGAAAAATACCATGCTGGGTTGAGGGCACATCTTGAAAAGAGAGACCACAATGATAGAGCTTATCATTTTGATTCTTTTTTCAAGTTTCTTCCAAAATCACACATTTGTATTCAAAACCCCCAAACTAGAATCTCAAACTTTTCGTGTTAGAACCCAGCCCTACTTTTCTTACTCTAGTCTCTTTCAATTACATCCATGCATCTTTTTAGACTTATCCCCACTCTACTGCCCAGTCTATCCTGATTTGAAGTAGGAAATGTTCCAAGACATGTCACCCACATGCACACACGTGAGCAAAAGCATCTCCGCAATTATAAATGATGGGTACATCTCCAGAAGTTGATCCTGAAATAATGAGATGCACACAACAGCTACAAGCACCAGGCTTCAAGGTGTTCTTTCTGGAAGCTGGACTGAGGTATTGTATCCAGAGATGTCCTTATAGCTGAATCATCAGCCACCCACTCCTGCTAGACTCCATTAAAAATCTTCTTTTGTGGGGCCCTCCCTGGTGGCACAAGGAGTTAAAAAGCAGCATATCAGGCTTTTGAAAATTTTATCACTTTTCTGTAATGGGATTGGTCCTATAATATCTCCCCTTCTCATTCCACAGCTGTCTGGAATTTAGATTGATTTTTTGCTCTATTTCTGCATTTCTGTGCAGTTTTTCACCTTTACGGAAATAACCAGGTCGTATACTCCACTTTCTCCATCTTTATCTTGGAGTACATATTTCTACTCATTTTCATGGATACCAACCACGTAGGCTTAACATGCTCACTGTGGGTAAACTGTCCTAATGAATCTTCCAAGAAATTACAAGCAGATTTCTGGAATACATGATTTCAGGAATGCTAAACTAAGCATAATAGGTGATCTTAGGTAAGACACCTATAGAAAAGGGCTAGCACACATGGAGCAATGTGGTTTTGTAGAAATTGGAATAGAAGTAAGAACTGAGACATTAAAGAGAGTTCGTAAAGGATAGATAAGCTAAGGTGGCATCACAAATTGGAGTATCAAATAGTCCCCCCATGAGAACATCCATAGAAAGGCTGCTACAAAGATAAGAAATGGTGTCATAAAGAGGTGGGGTCTGGTGTCTATTTAGAATGACAATTCAATTCTATTTAGAATGTGTTCTCCTTCTGCAGGTGTCATCATTGTTGATTTCTAAATGTTTACTTGGGCCATTATTTTTCACCAACAGAGACCTAACAAGAAATGACATACCTAGCCCAATTGCTGTAGTGATAGGGTTACTATAATTATTCTCATATTTTAGTAGTCTAGGCTTTCTGACAAGTGACAGGGTGCATAAAACAAAATTGCTAGTACCAAACCCTGCCAATTGCTATTGTAAGGATAAATATGAAGGCTTGTTAGATATTTTCTCCCCTCTCCAATGTACAATGGTGATGATAGAAATAATCATTTGTTGCTTTGAAAGAAAAAGGTCTAATTGCTTTCTTCTGCCATAATATATAGCATTACATTACAGGTGTCTAGGATTTGTTTGGTAAAGAACAGAAAAATCAGGAACCGATAGATTGCAAACAGACTGAATCAAATCAACTACCCAGACACTGATTGACTCAGCTAATACTGGTTATTGTGTTGGTGGATAGGGAAACAGAAATGAGAAAAGAACAGTTTCTACATTCAAAACTCTCTGAACCTGCTGGAATTGAATGTAAGAAGTCAAGGGAAAATATTAATAGAGGACTACATAGGAAATGAGGGAAAACTACATAAACAGAAAGGATAACATCATTTCTGAGATTTCTGTTCCATTCCTCTCCTTCTCAGACAGATTAAGCCCTATGTTAAGAATGAACCTCTTCTCTGTGATAACCATCCAGGAATCTCTCACTACGCTACAATACAAAATCTCTCAATCTATTGGCCCTTTCCAACAGCATTTTCTAGCACTGAAATTCTGCTGTTTGGTCATATTTCTGTTTCTCGCTAGAATATAGGATCCCTCACAGACAAGCACAGTGATTGGAATATGATAAGGCTCAATCACCAATATTTGATGTAATAACAGTACGAAAATAAATGACAGGAGAGAGAGAGGTGAATACGGACTAGATGAGACACATAGATGAATGTTAAATCTTGCAGGAAGGATGAGCCAGAGGAAAATAATTTTGTTCAATACCAGAAAACCTGTAAGAGTGGTAACCTTCACCCCTTATTGACAGGGGGAGAAAGAGTAGGTTAAAACAGGTAGAAAATAATTAAAATTCTTTGTAAACGTCATACATTTTTGATAGTCATAACTTTATATAACTCCAGGAACTTTGGTACAGATATTTTTCTCCTACTTTAAAGAACGGAAATGGCTCCAGCAAGTATTACATCAAAGTTAAAATAGGTTCAAAATTAAAAGCCAGACTGATTAACTACAATGCCCGTTACTGTTTTCTAAGTCATAGACTAAAAGGGAAGTTAGGCTTATGAGAGATACTGGACAGCTGGGCAGTGTGATGCCTTCTTTAAAAACACAAAAGTTGCACTATGGTGATGGTACATGGGTGATTTGGTAATGGGAAGCCCACAGGGATTACAACTGAGGTGGGAAAAGGCACAAAATGATGTAAAAATAAACTATTATTTAAAAAAAAAGCTTCATATTTTATAATAAATATATAAATGATTCATACTGGGATAGAGATGAGAAATAAATAAAAGAGATAATGTCCTTATAGTTTATTCAAAAAGAACATTTGTAGAGTCCATTTAAAATGTGTAAATGTCTATGTATGTTTGTCATCTGTGACTCTCCATTTGCTGTTATATATAGAGATGCATTTGAGCATGGGACGGTTATCAAGAGATAAGATACTCACTAAGCAGACACTAGACAGCTCCGGTTCTTTGAATTATAGGTCATAAAGGACAGAAATGCAACTGTCCTTTGACAGGGATAGGAGGGATTTGAGGGGGTAAGAGCAGAGGAGACAAATAACTCATTTGCTAAAAGATTATTGTTTCTTATGAAATGCAGATATGTACACTGGAGAAAGAGCAGAGGGCCTTTACTCTAACTCCAGAAAAGTCATACTCTCTGGAGCCAATTATAGGATAAAGTTCAGTGCTCCAGTTTCTCTCTGCACTGCCCACTGACGAGAAAAGTCTAGTACTCTTTATTTTTGTCTCCCCATTTTGTCTGTGCAGGCAAATACAGTTCATATAAAGAAGGCTAGATTTAATGACTTGGATAATATCCATCCAACTCAAAAACTTAATGACCCAGAGGACATCATTTCTGCTTTCTTACATTAATAACAGTACAGGCACACCTCGACTTTCTGTTTATTTCTCAACATAGAAATTTATTCCTTCTACAATTTGGAGCCTGCACTGATATTTCCAGTTCATGTTTACCTGAAATTTCCTTTCTGTTTTTAATCACTAAATGCTTGGACCTTCCATTTGATTCTTAACAATGAGGCAGAGCTGACATTGGTAATTTATATATTCTATGGCTATCTCTTTTATCTGTCTGGTGTGTAAGTACTAAGTGGTTTGGGCTTACAGGTTTATTCCTTCTCAATGCTGGCTACTAAATTAGAATTGGAAAAATACAAAGCTTCAATTAGTAAAGTTGACAGAGAGATCTGACTCCTATCTCTTCTTATTTTTCTGACTTCCATTATCTCCTCTCGTCAACCCCTCATTTCCACTTCTTCCTATATCTATTGCACACCTCCATTTCTTCATCCCACCTTATTTGTAGCTTCTATCAATTCATTTCTCCCTCCTTCCATCTCTAGGGTTCTTTATTATTTAATCCCTTTCCCGGGGTCCCCTTCCCATCCATGAAATATTCTTACCTGCTCACATCAGCAACACCATCCGATGCTCTTCAATCCCATCACAGAGTAAGGATTAAACCATTTACCAGTGGTGGGGACTTTATAGCCCCTTAGTAGAATCACCTGGCAACAGTGAGCTAACTTGATTAGTGAGTATTTGATTGTAGTGTGAGTTATGGGACTCATAAGCTATTATCTCTCTATAATATCTCCCATACATCTCTCAAACACAGCTTCAACCCTGCTCCTAGCCTAAGCAAAGCCCATGCATCAGGAGCTTAAATGGAGCCTTGGCTCTGGGGGCTGACAGTAATGGGTACCTTCATAAACTTCCTGACCGGATCAGATACTAGCTGCATTTCTCTTCACCTTGCCTTAGGCTACAGATTCTCAGCAAAGGAGCTCCCTGAAGGTCAGTGCAGACTCAAAAAGTACAAAATAATCCCTCTGATCACTGTTCCAAAAAGTATTTTTCCAAACCAGTCTCATTGTCATATCCTTCTTCTGACTGAAAAACCTACTCTACTGACTCATATCTGCATCCCATATGCCCTTCTAAGCATAACTGAAGTAGCATTTGGTGAACTCAGCAATATCAAAATTTGCACAATACCTTTTAGCAGGTTGTCTTATTTATTTATATGTCTATTTATTTATTAGCAAGTCTATGGTCTAAGTGTTATTCTCTATTATTTCACAGATGAGGAACACTTAGAGGCTTTGAATAACTACCCGTCTAAAAGCCAGCAAATTATAGAGTTCTTATTCAAGCCAAAATTCTTGCTCTTTACCAATAAGCTGTATTGTCTATTATGGTCCACTACGTTTATTTATGTCTTCAGGAAATGTAGTTACAATAGATGGTCTCCAATCTATTCATCCCACAGAGTGCTTAATTCACAACTGCAAACCCACATCTGATTTAAGTCTCAATTTTACCAGAATCTATCTCTCCATTGTAGGCAGTAAATTACTAATCCTGAGAATATTCATTACGTACTGGTTTTTTATCCTTCTTGAAATATGTTCTTACACTTATTATTATTAACTCGGGTGCTGGCCCAGGCAAGGCGCATGACATTTTGGTGGAGACAGAAGGAATGAGAGTGGATGTGGAGTGATAAAATGGGAGGTGGTTGATGAGGAAAGGTGCAGGGAAGGCCACGCAGATTGCCCTCGTCAAGATAATTGTCCCCATTTTGCAAA